CTGGAGGTATTTAAAGGATGTGTTGATGAGGCACTGAGGGACATAGTTTAATGGTGGACTTGGCAGTGCCAGGTTGATGGTGGGACTTGACGATTTTAAAGGGTCTTTGCCAACCTAAATGACTCTATGATTCTGTGATTGATCAGTCTGTAGTTGAAAGACTAAAAACCCTATTGATGAATCAGCTAACCCACGCTATTATTTCCTTACCTACAAGGTTGTAAACACTTTAGAATGTTAAAAATAACAAAAGTATTCTAAAAAAAAGAAAGTTATTTCCTTGATTAGAATGAGGTTGGAGACTTGCCTTGTGGGGTCCTGTTCTAACTCAGCAACAGTCCTTTGAGTTTACACTGTACCGCCACTCTTTACTGCCCATTCACCACACTGAGCAGTACCCCTGATTGCCCCAGAACTGCAGCATTTCCCAGCGCAGCTGAAGAGCACACGAGGAAAGAAATACTCACAAAGTCTCGGTGAGTTGCTGCCGTGATGCAAGAAGCCATTTCAAATGCGTAAGCGATCAGCATCAGAATAATATACTGTGGGAGACAGAGAGCAGAGTTAACTCTTGGAGAAAGAGTTAAACATTTTTTCCAGACTAAGCCTGAAACCCTGCTCAAGGCAAAGGAGGCCAGACTATCCCAGTCCTCTCTATGCCTCTGAACATCCATGTAGCCCTTCCCTGTGCTTGTTTCAGTTTGAAATCTGCTTTCTTGAAGGTGTATGACTGAAATTATTCTCCATCTCACAGAAAAAAAAAATCATCAGAACCTCACAGCATTAATACCACCCTGCCTCTGTGGAAAACACTTGGCCTGATATGTCCTAGAATAACATTCGCCCTTTTCTTTGTTGCATCTCTTTGGCAACTTCTGCTTGTGTCGTGTCTTCTCCTTTTGCTTCCACTTGTCAGCTATAAGCTTTTCAGCAAGATGCTGCTCACTCCTAGCAGCAGATCTTGTACTTTTGGGGAAACAGAAAGCGCAATTTAAGGTGTCATTCAGATCCTCCTGATTTTGCATCACCAGATTTCCTCAGTGCTCCTACTTTATGAGCTAAGATCCTTCAGGAAAACAGTTCCCGAGGATCACGGCTCATAGTCTGTTTTGCTGCTTTTCTTCGCTTCTCATCACAACCCCTTTAACCTTTCCCATATTCTCACTGAAGTTCTTGTATCTCTGTTTCTCCTCCCACATTTTATAATGTTCTTCTCAGATTCAAAGCATTTGTTTCCTTCTTACCCCAGCTTTGGCCCCTTGTACCCTCTCTTATCTCCTATATCACAGCCTTGGGTTTCAGCCAAGACACCAAAATTCAGAGTCAAGGGAACTCTCTTCCCTCAGCTGTTTGATGGCAAATTCCCTGGCACAAGTGTTCAGGTCTTTAAGTGTCTTTTTAAAAAAAAAAAAAAAAAAATCAGACACTCTGCCATCCCATAATGATGGGAGTTTTCAGCTTTACCCTTCATTGACACAAGCACCAATTAGGTTTCGCCACTTCCAACCTAAAGGACTAAGTAAGAAATTGTACAGAGATTTGTTCACATCTTAACGTTGTCCTTGGCTTATCCAAAGCTCTGGGTCCCCACCCCTGTGATTTCTGTCTGCCTGCTGATGTCTGATGTTCTCAATTGCACCCATATTTGGTATACAAGAACATACTAATGCCTTGTACAGAAGACGTTACTTATCAGCTCCTAAACTCAATGGTATATGACAGCTGAAAGGCAGTAAGGGGTGGGGAGAAGCAAGGATCTAAGCCACATCCCAGCTACATCTGATTGCACAAGTGCTTCTGCGCTGCTTCAGGGCAAGGTCAGGTTCAAGCCAGTCAGCTTAAGCCTCCATTGTGGCTGTCACCATTAATTCCCTCAGCCTGGTTTGGGAGCTTCATATTCATGTATCCTCACAGGACTCACCTTGTGGGACACCACAGCCATGATCAAGAAGAACCTTTGGATCTTTATCACCGACAAAAGCTGTCTTTGCTCGGCAGGTGATTACCAGGATGAGCAGGGAAACTAAAGCATCATTTTTTTCAGTTTGGCAGCAATATGTAGGCAAACTTTGCTACACTTACCACCAGCAGCAAGGTTCTGTTGGACTTAATGACTCCAACAATACCAAGGATAGACAGAGCAAAGAGTGCAAAGCCAACGAAGATGCCAATCCAGGTAGCAGCATAGAGGTCATCGTTTTCTGTGGCTTCCAGCAAAGGGTAGAGACCGTGGGGATCAGACACAAAGAAGATGCACTCTGCTGTCAGGGCAATGCCACACATCTGAGAAGTGCAGGTTTGGGAAATATATTAGATCAAGCTTCCTCAATGAAATAGCAGAGAGAGAAAAAGATGGAGACTGCTTTCCTTTCACTCAACATCCTGCCAAATGGGAGCTACTCAACTCCTCCTCTGTCCAACCCTACAGTCTTTTGTGTTGTGCCTTCACAGAATTGCAGGCAAAAGTCACCCTGCCTAGACCTGAGAGGTCAGGCCTAGGACTTGAAGATATTAAGAAATATTTCACAGAACCTTTCCCATCACCATATGGAAGGAGGTGGCTGGAAATTGGTCAGCAGCAAGGGCTCTTCCCCTAGAACTCAGGTTGGTCTTATGGATCAGCCCCTGCTGCCTCTTACTGTCCCCTCCGCACCCAACTGATCAGCTAGCACACCTGTCCTTTACCCTTCCTCTCCGGCTTTAGTGATGTGGGGTTCACAGGTGAAGAGGGATTTCGTATCTGGGAACTGCTGTTTTAAGTAGTATCATACTGGAAGGAAGCCTCCACCCATACTTGTCCCACTTACCCCAATGACCACATTCCCAAAGACTAATAGACCCTGCAGGATGCGTATGCCATCATCGCTTTTTGCCATCTTTAATTCTTCATGCAAGCTGGGAAAAAACAGAGACAGACTTCCATTAGACCAGTACAACAAGCTTCACTCAGAAATAGAAATTATCCCTAGGGAGAAGGATAGACAGAACCTGCCAGCCTGTCTGTACACCTCCCACCCCTTGCTTCAGTGTAGTTTTAGAGGAGAAACTTCCCCAGGTGTGAACACGGAAGCTCAGAGTCTCCCTGATACTCAGGTTACAGAAGATCGGGACCGCTCTAGGGGCAGCGGTGTCTCCAGCTCCCTTTTGGCTGGGGTTCTTATCATCACAACAGCACCCACGCAAGCCTCAGCTCATGGGTTGCATTTCCACCTGCCTAGAAACACCAGCTACACCCAGATGGACAGGGGGCAAGTTCAGTGCCCTCACCTTGCTCCTCTTCCAAAGGAGCCAGTGGTATCCCAGGGTACACTATCCCGCTGGCTGTTTCGTTTTGGCCAGCACTGCCACAGGACAGAACTGGTAACCATACCGCTTTAGCTGGATCCCACACCTACGTACAGCTCGGCTGCACCTTGCTAAAGACAGCCCCATCTCCCACCCATGCCAGGAATTGGACGTGGTTCCCCCATTCCCAGTCAGGTGCAAGGGAGGGAGGGAGCAGCTCAGGCTGCAGCTGGCTCATGGGAGCCAGGCCGAGTAGCATTCCCACCAAATTCCAGAGAGCGTTATATCCTGCAGGCTAGGGCCAGGCACCCCACGTTGAATTCATCCCTTTGCAGAAAGAGCGGCATAAAGGCACTAGTCAGAGGTGTGAGACCTCTTGGAGAAACAAGCCCAGGTGCCAGCACCAACGAAGCCCTTCTTTCAAAGGGACGGAGTGCATGTGCGCATGGAGAGGGGGAGGGAAAAAACCACCCAATCCCAAGACAGCTGCGTTTGCAGGATGGTTAAGAACACACAAGCCATGAAAGAAAGGCTGAAGAAAGCCCAGCTTGAGCAGACAACAGGAAAAGCAGCTTGAGCACCCCTCTTCTGCTAGAGTACCTACACTTGTGCCTTCTTTTCCTGGGCTTACTGACCGTGATTCTTCAAAGAAGCTGTTGGAAAATAAGAGGAGAGACAGCTGTCAGTGAAGGGGATGTTTCTTGAGGAACAGAGGATCATTGTGGCACCTCTCTAACAATGAGACCTTCAGTCTCCTCAGCAGCTGCCCCCTTAGGGTAGGCAGGACTTCCAACAATGGCAGAGAGGAACACAGAATTTCCTAGCACCCTTTCTGCAGTGGTTTGAGAGTTGGCCATGGAGAGATCTCCAGTGCTCTCACCATTATACCAGCAACAGAACACGTAAGTATTTTTAGATGATAGTGTGAATGGGGTTGGTCATTATATCCAAGGGAAGAAGACATTTTTATTCCCAGCCAGGTGGAAGCTATACAGCTCTGCACTTGGAAATGGCAGGCTCACAAGGTCAATATGAAACTCAACGCCTGCCAAACCTGTTGACCAACCAGCATGCCCAGGGGCCACATGAAACTGCCTTGCAGGTCAGATCTGGGTCTGAGCAGTGTTTCACCACGTGTTGTCTGCAGAGTTTGCCAAACCTGAGATGGAGGCTGGTCCTCCGCTCCTCTGAAAGCGGTAGAGACTACTGCCTGGCTCATGGACCTTTGTGCTGCAAACTCTAGAGATTTTCAAAAAGCTTTTAGTTATTGTCAGCTAAGAGACATCACAAGTCAGGGGGCAGTCCAGAAAACAAGTAAATTTTCCCTTCAGGCACATGAACACTGACCACTACATGGAACGGTAGGTCTGCTCCAGCTGACACGGGAAGAGCTGGGTGGAGTGTGCCATGTGGCTAGCACGATGGATCACACCAAGCACAATTAACAAAGCCACAACCCTTTCCTTAACATCACAGGAGCCTCTTTCTCCCTCCCTTTTTCTCCTACAGAGCTCGCTGCAGCGTAATGACAGCGCTCACACCTTGTATGTGGGTTGCCCACCCAGCCCATGTGCTTGCCTCCCCACAAGCTGGCCTTTTCCTCCTCCATGGCAGCAGGACCCGGCTTGCTCTTGCCTCCCCTTGGGCAGGTATTCCTGCAGGCACGCCAGGCCCACAAAGCAAGCCTCTTCTCCTGGGGCAAGCCCATCTCCTGGGCTACCGTAGCTGGGAGGAAAACTGGCCACAGTCACCACCACACAGATACAAGCGGGAGAGTGGCACGCTCCTAGGCAACTTAAGGCTCTCCAGCACCATCCCCAAATCCAACGGGATTGCAGGGTGGGGGGAAGTGGTGAGACCAAAAAGAGGGAAAGGGAAGGAAGAGCCTTTAGCGTAGACCTAAAAAATAAACACTGCAATGATGTTGCCATATTAGTGTGAATTCTCCCTCTTCCTCCAAATGATTGGCACTGAAGAGGTTCATTTCTCAGCGTACAATTCCTTCCCCTGTGCCACATGTGGCCACCGCTTGTCTTCACTGTCAAGGGTCTCGTATCACCATCTCAGAGTCGACCCTCCAACATGACCCAGAGGAGATGCCATGGGAAATGTGAGGCTTCCCACCTGCTGCCTGCTCCTCGTGAGTTAAGCAAGAGCAGCTTGCACAGCGCTCGGCGCAGGTGCGTGACTACAGAGGCGCGAGGCAAACCTCGGTCGGCTCGCCATGGCACGCAGGTATGGCTCGCAACCACCCATGAGGTGTGTCTCCTCCTCCCAGTCCCCAGAGGGACAGGCACAGCAGCTCCTGCCTGCGGGCTTAAATCAGTTTGGAGGGAGAGGACCCTTCTGCGTGGGCTGGTTTTACAACACTAATACAATTTTCTGGGGCTTCAGGGAAACTCCTGAGGAAACCAGAGCTTCAGATGCAACTCCTACCCAAAATCTTCATATGATAAGGCAGCCAGGTCCTGGGATTTCAGCTCTGAGCTTGCATGGAGCTGGTGTACCTCAGCAGACCCTTGGCACCTTGCAATTTAGCTGTGACCCATCCGTGTCGCAGGTATTCAATTATCACTGCCACACTCCATGCTCCAAGCAGCTGTGGAAAGGTGTCTGTTTCTCCCATTTTACCACAAAAACCTGCGCCCCTCCTGAAGCACATCCTCCTTCCTTACACCCTGGTCACAATCAAGACTGCAGCTTCTCCCCTCTCCTCTCCCCTCACACCCTGACAACACTCCTCTCCCCTCACGCCCTGACAACACTCCTCTCCCCTCACGCCCTGACAACACTCCCCTCCTCTCCCCTCACACCCCCCATGTCACTCATTGGGGTCTGGCTGAACCTGTCAGAGCCCAGGAGCCGTGGTAGACCTGCCTCCTCTCTGCCTCCACAGGTTGCCCACAGACCTGTTATTTTCATGTCCTTAGAGCTTTCCTGACCTCTCCTCCCTTCCTCTAGTCACAGGGGCTCTGCAAAACCTGCAGCACCACTGTGGGAGCCAAAAATGAAGCTACTTTCTGCAGAGGCTGGCTTCTGCCCTTGTCTGTTAGGTGGCCAACCCCATGCAGACTTTCAAAGGAAGCCCTGCTCGCAGCAGTGCCGGGGTTCAGGCAGGATTCAGTCTCTGTTGTGCATCCCTCGCTGGGCTGGTTGATCTTCTGAAGCCTCTACATTTTCTTTCTATAGGCTGGGACAGGATTTCAGTGGCCTTACAGGTGGATGTCCCCTGCTTAGCCTAGTCCTACTCCATCTTTAGCCAAAAACCCCAACAGGTAAGGATTGGTTTGGCATTGCCCCATACATTGCAAGTACCATTTTGATTGTCTGATGTTTTGTGCCAGTTGTCACAGTGGAGTCACAGCACTCTGACTAAGGGATGTCCAAAACCACCCCCGAGAGCATCACTCGTTTCTACACCTTGCTCTTGGAAGTCTCTCAGGACTTAAGCCCAGCAGCAGGGCTTAAAGGGGCTTCACCTCACCCCTTGCCACCCCGGTTTGCCTCAGCGTCCCTGTGCAGGGTGTTGTCTTCTCATCCCCTGGTGTAAGGAGGCAGAGACAAGGGATGTGTTTGTCTTATTACTCACAGGCTCCGTAGCCTCCAGATACCTTGGCCGAAGGGCTCCAAGTCGCTCAAGCACAGCTAAACAAACCTCGCCGTTCAACGGCAGAATCCTGGTCCTTTCCGGCAACTCCCTCCGGCACAGAGGCCTGAGCACCACACCTCCTGCCCCCGGTGCTCACGCGGCCCCGGCTGGGGAGCGAGCATGTGCGGGCAGGAGCTGGATCTGGAGCGCTGATGGAGGGAAGCCAGCAGGATGGAAACGTTGCCGGAGGTGCCAGTGCGAGCCACGGACCTGCCGCCGTCTAGGACACACTGAGGCTTGAGGGACCAGGCAGCAATAAACCTACCTTTTATTTCTTTTTCATTTGGTTTTAGCAGAAAATTTAGTGCCTAAGGGGCTTAAAAAGAAGGTAGTTTCCAAGTGCTTGGGACATCTTCAAAGTTACACGGTTTTTAAGAGGATGCAATCAAATACATCACTGATGAACTGCTTGGATGCTGCTATAGGAAGCCAAATCCTTTACAAGTGTAAATTCATCATTCAATTACTTATTTTTGAAGAAAACACCTCCAGTGCACACAAAGCCACATGCTCCTCCTGCCCCTCCAGACCTTCCCCAAAAGGTCCGAAAGGCAGCCACCTCGCACAGAGAACAGCTTGTGCCCCGGGAGTCCCCCACACAGGGAAAAGGAAGAGCCAGGCAGCTATGTTGTGCCAGAAAAGGAGAAAAAATAAAGCAGAAACAAAGCTCGGCATCAAGCAGGGGTCAGAGACTAATTAAGTTTCCTTTCGAGGGAGATTGCTATGAAATGAAGCCTGTGTGAACAGTGGAGTGGCTGGTAAATCATCATCAAGCATAATTACCTCGGAAATAGAGCTGGGAGGTAGGCTTTTCCTCTCTCCCTCATTAGTTCAGCACAGCCAAGAGGAATTTTTTTTTGCCTTTCCTATTTTCAGAAATTAGGGGGAATTACAGGATTCATCTTTCTCTGCAACAGTTTTTCTTTTTACGCTCAGATATATTTGCAACAGATT